TGTCTTTTTTTTAAAAAAAATAAGAGTTATTTTTTGTAAGAGTAAATTTTTACCTTCGGCGTTTTATCGTCTGCTACTTTACTTCGTTTAAATCGAATTTTCTAAAACTTTGCAGGGAAATTTGGCTGTCAGACATACCAAGATGTTTCAAAAAGTTGGACGCTTTTGAATATACTTTCAGGATACTTCAAAGAATTTAGATGTTCAAAGAAAAAACACTTGGACGTGTACACCAGCATCAATTGAGCTTGTGTTAACAGAAAAGACAAAACGATATCATTGCAGATTAAAGTGAAGAGCGACTGGTTTTAGACTATATGGTTGTGTAAATTACGTTATAGAACATCATATCGTATCAGAAATGGTGAATCCCATGATTTTCTCAGTCGAATTATTTGAAGATTCAGGAGTTTATCCAGTGATGTAAGTGGATGTCACCTAAAGATGTTTTTTTCCCTTCCTGATGAAACAGCGGCCGAGCGGTAAAGTCGCTGAACACTGGTAGTTCGGTCCGAGGTTCGAATCCCGCGAACGGGCTGCATGAGCGTTTTCGTGGTTTTCCCCATGTGTAACGTGTATGCGAGCCAGTTTCCCTTAGAAAGTGCTCCAGGAAGGCATCCCTCCCCTTAGGCAGATAGCCGTAGTGTGCTTTGTCATAATAAAATAAACCAAAACCTTTTTGATGAAACCAGTCTTTCCTTTCATCTCATACCTTCAAAATGTTTAGCCTCTAAAGACTGATAAAGGCTCTGACGAAATACTTCGTGAAGAACTTTCTAAGGGAAACCAGCTGTCATACGCGGTACACATGAGAAAATCCACGAAAACGCCCATGCAACCAGCCCGTTTACCGGGGTTCGAACCCCGGAGTGAACTACCAGTGTTCAGCAACTTTACCGCTCGGCCGTTTGTGGGCCTTTATGAAATGGAAGGCGATAACTTTATTTAAAATGATTGTCAGAAATACCAAAATGTTTCGAAAAGTTGGATACTTTTCAATATACTTTCAGAATGCTTGCAGAAAAAGAGAAGAAAAATAAATTTTTTCGTAAAATTTAGTATTCGTATTTTTTTTCATTTAAAACTTTTCAATCTTATGATATTTGATTCTTGCGATTTCAAAAATAAAATATTTGACTAAAATATGAATAACATTTTAAGAAACCAAATGTAGGATAAAATTGTGTAAAGCAATGGGCACAATGATAAAACTGTTTAAAGCAGTGTATGCAGGTCATCCTAAGTTAAAATATCGATTATACATCTCTCTTATTTATATATATTTTTTCTGAACGGAACATTGAAAGGCGTGTAAAACTGTACTTTACTGTATTTTCTCTTTTAATATAGTACGCAGTTTTCAAACGCATCGTAGTCTGGGTTACAAAGTATTCTTCTGAAAAAAACGCACTTCAAATAAATAAAATCAAATTCTGGAAAATTGATATTAATAAATATATTTAAAATGTTCAGTTCGAAGGAATAAATAGAAAATTTTAAAACAATTATCTGAAGAAACAATGCAACACAAACAATTAAAATAAAAGTATAAAATTTAAAAATGACCTAAAATAATAACTATGACGAAAAATATATATAAAGAAAACTATTTAAAAAAAAAATAAATAAACGCTGCACCTTTATTTACGCAGTTCGAATAGGTAAATAGAAATTTTTTAAAACAGTTATTCGAAAAAAAAAAAAAAAAAAAAAAGTGCAACTTAAACACTTAAAATGAAATTCGAAAAAGAAAAATTACTTAAAATAATAAGTTATAATTAAAAATATAATGTAAAGAATATTATTTGGAAAAAAGGAACGATGGTGACTTTTTTCCCCTCACGGGAAAGGAAACTAGGTTGCCATATATTAAGAAGTTCGCCAAGTAAAGTATTCTTGGCGCAAACTGACAAAAAAGTGCCAACATAAATTTGTGAATTTCTCCGTAAATTTCGCTCCAAATTTTACAAAATTTCATATTTAGGCGTAATTTGAGTCGTAGAATCGAAATATGTAAAAAAATTGGTATGTTATTTCAGAAAAAGTCCGATTTTGTGTCAAAATACCTATGTTAGAATAGTGCTATATATAAATCTAATATATATCCTAAGTCGCGCTTTCGAGACATGAAGAACGCAATTTGAATTTTGTCAATCGGCCCAGTAGATCGGGAGATATAGCACTGTCCCTTTTTTTTTTTTTTTTTTTTTTTTTTTTGAGCAGTGTACATTATTCTCTCAACTTGGAGAATGAAAGGAAAAGAAAAGTCACATAATAATTATGCTTCTTCTAGACGTTAAAAATATTTTGATCTCTAACTTAAGAAAGTGACTGATTAATAGATATACGAAATCAAATCCAAAAGCGAATGCCATGCTTTTTTATCATAAATGCTATTAGTATTTAGCAGTATTAGTATTTAATATTTAGCATTTTAGTGTTTAGTATTAGTTGACTTCTAAAACTAGTCTAGCTAGATGAAAGAGGAAAATGTTTTTTAGCCTTTTTTATGATTCAGATCAGCATTAATCACTTTGTTTACAGTTGGCACTGAGGAATTTAAAGATTTTGTAACTGTCCTTTGAACTGCCGGATTTTTTTTTAATATCAAAGATTTTACCTTTGCAACATTCGCAATATTCTATTTTGTCCTTGGATATATATTTGGAACAATTTTTCCACTTGAAGTCAAACTTTGACGTCGTTTTCCTTTCTTGATGACGATATTACCTATTGTAGCTTTATATATCAGAAACCATAGTTTCACAGCGTTTTTTTAATAACTTTTGTTTATCAAATCCCTGGCCATTGACTATCAGGTCGTTAGGCAACGAGCTCTCCATTACTTCTTTACAATACAGTCCGAACTCTTAAGCGAAGGGCGCACGCCCAGATGAGCAACGTCCACGAGTTGTCCAGAATCACACAAAGCACATAAAGGTGAGGCAGACAGATTAAAACAAAACACATGAGCTCCAAGGCAGTCATGTCCGGTCAATAGTCTAAACTCAGCCACAGCAGTAGCACGAGAAGAGTCTGAGACACAGTAGGCTTTTAATAGCATCCTCCATGACTTATTTTCAGTAGCACTAACAGCAGCATTACAAAAGGATTTTTTATAAATCCTACTGATTTCAAGTTTAGCAGAGTGAAAAGATAGGTCTTTAGAAGACCTTTCCGTACCTTTTTTTTACCAAAAAGCCGGCCATCTCATTTTCCCAAAGGCCACTATGTGATGGCATCCACTGGAAAGCAACCTTTGAATTCTGCTCAACAGCTTTCTGCTGCTCTAGACACGAGTACTTTGTTTCCCTAGGTTACTTGCTAAGGCCTGAAGTGCAGAACTGGAGTCCGATAAAATTACAGCCTTATCAAGAGGAAAGAGACGGACAGAAAGCTGTTGAAGGGCTAAACGGATGGCCTCGATTTCACCGTCAAAATGGGTTGCATGAGAGCCAACATGTAGGTAAAACAGATCATAAAGGAAAACAAATCATAAATTGTTATTTTATTCTTATCTAATAACTAGATACGAATAATTTTCTTCGGAATGAGCACGCATAGCCATCCATCCATTGTTTCTTTAAAGCGCCATTTTGAAGTAAAACAAAACTGTCAAGTAGCAGACGATAATTTGCATTTTAAAAAATATAATTGTTGTTGAAAAAAAAAGCAGACGATTTTTTTAATAACAAAACAAAATCCTCCAAAAAGTACTCAAACAGCCTCTGTAGTGATTCCCAACAGCCGGAATGCACACAAATGTTTTTAGATTCAAACTTACAGTGAATTCCGCGAAATCTTACTTTAAAAATACCACGATGTGACACTGATGGACACTACAGATCAATAAATAAGACTGAGTGAGAGATTGAGTTATTGATCTATAAAATGCCGGTAAGTTAGTCGACCTGTCTCTCTGCAAACGGATCGTAGCGACGTTTTGGTATAATGACACTGATACCAATGGTTTCGCAAATGGTATTTAATCCATCGCTAGATTGATACTAACTGGAGCACCTCGGAACACTTGATCCAGAGCTGGATTAACCATTACGCGCAAAAAAGCACGTGCTTAAAGCATGAAGGATAGGGGCACTACAAAAAGATTCTCGGAACTCATGAAAAGATATCACCACAAAAATTCTCCTTCGTGACTTTACCATGGATTATGCAGTTAAACCAAGTTCAAGAGAGAAGAAGTTGGGGGGGGGAGGTATTATACTGTAAAATTATTATATAGGGGCATGAAAATCTTTTAAGTGCTTAGACTTCTGAAAGCCTTATTCCTGCCATGATTAGACCGCGACTGAAAATCGTAAGAGCAGCACTGATCACGTTGCCTTCAATTGTGTGAGAGCATATGACAGCACACGCAAGTATAGAATAGACATATTCAACCATACTGTTTCGAGTAGACTGTGTCTTAGAGACAACGCCTATTAAAGGGTCATCGATGCACACTTCCTTGTTTTTATGCGGGGAAACACAGAATTAGGAGAGACTGCAGGATGGATATCTTTTTGATGCTTAATTTTTAGTCCTAAGCGTGGGCCTTATTAGCTTCAGTGGTAGTAAGACTCTAATTACAAATAGTCTGACTATTTCACCTTTATTGTTATTCTATTCAGATGACTAGACGTACACTTCTTTAATCAGGATGGTGTCTTCTTATCCATTTACGTTGCTTATACTAGTATAACATCTAAATGAACATTTACATTGCTAAAGCGTAGTTTTCATCATGTCTGGCTGATTTCTTCTTTTGTTTCGTTATCCTCTTCCTACCGAAGAGATAGTATAACGTTCTTGTCTAAAAGATACTGCAGTTATGTAGATGTACTTTTAATATTAATTTATTTATTTATTGTTCATTCCTTAATTATGTTACATTTCAATATTATATAAATATTTTGTGGCTTATAATAACAGTTAACTTTTATTGACACTTCAAAAGCTTTTGAGCGCATCTTGCTTGTGTTCAAGCATATATATAATACTGCACATTTAACGTAAAAACGATTGAAATAGGGGCATGACTTACCAACTATATAATTGCATGCTTTTATCATCTTTGGGGGGCTAAATGTATACGAAACAAAATTGTTGATCTGGCACAGGCGATCAAGGCTTTGAGCTACAGCTTTTTTCCGACCAGAAGAGTCTCTGAGAACCTTATGTAACTCTGAAGTGTAAATAATGATCAATAAAGATACAAATAAAAAATTAATGTACAATATAAATTATAATGTATAAGAAATATACAAATGTAAAACAAAATAATGATTACTTAAACAAGCAAAAGAAATTTAGCCAAAAAAATGAAATGATCATACTGTAATATTTAAAATTATAAAAACATTTAGCTTTTGTTAAAATTTAAATAAAAATTCTAAAAATTATACTGGGTAAAACATACTTTTAATAAAATGAACACATATGGTGGAAATATAAAATGCATTATTAGTTGTAATTACTAATGTATTTACAACTAATAATGATGATATATGTATATATATATATATATATAGTGTGTGTGTGTGTGTGTGTGTGTGTGTGTGTGTGTGTGTGTGTGTGTGTGTGTGTGTGTGTGTGTGTGCGTGCGTGTGTGTATGTGCGTGTGTGTGTTTATGATTTGAAATATTAAAAAAAAATACTAATTCGACAATAATCCTTTTTATTCCCCCTTTTAATTTGGCTGTCACCTCTTTCTCTTCTAAAATTAGAAATTGTTTGTAATAACTTTCTGTTCTGCATCTCTCAAAATTAATCTGCTTCATACTTTCTTATGTAATCATGCTGCAATGGACGGGTCCAATCAGATTAAAGAAACTTTTTGCTGTATATCTTGTGCTTTGCTGCTGCGTAGATTTGTAGTGGCCCAGTTATTGCATGAGAAATAATTATTTTTTATTTCATATATTTGTTCATGTGTTTAATTATTTTATAAAATTAACTTTAGTATTTTGTTAATATTCATAATTATATTTCTTTTATGCTGAATGGCAACAAGTACTTCATATTTATATTTAAATTTCTTTATGCTGAATGGCAACTAGTTCTGATTCATGATTGCTAGGTTTTTGTTTCAAAACGTTGCTCGTAGCGTCGCATTTCGATAGCTGGAAAATAGAATGCAATAAACTTAGCTATTTGTTTATAATTCATGCGGTCCCTAATCATAAATTAATTTTAAACATTAGTAGCCAAGGCTACATCATGGTGACCCTGATTAATTTTCGAAATATCAACAAATGACTCTTCTGAAACTGCTATGAAAGATACGACGCAGTCACCGGAGCTTCATAAGGTGAGTGTAAAAATACCTCCTTTTTGGGCTGATAAACCGGAAAGAAACGAAATTTAATTATTTAGTTTCACAGCTTGAACCTAAGTTCGTTGAAAATATTTGGGACATTGTAACGAACGATAGTGCCACAAAATATTCGGATGCTAAAATTAGGTTATTACATTTATTCAAAGAAAGTGAAAATGTACGGATTAAACGTTTGATTACTGGTATCGAACTTGGAGACATGAAACCAAGCCAACTTTTGCAGAAGTTGAGATCAGTTTCTACTACAGATGTGTCTGAAAATCTAATCAAAACTTTATGGCTGGAGAAGCTTGCTGACTCAATAAAAAATATATTATTAGTGATGAAGATGTAACCAAGTTAGCGTTTATGGCAGATAAAATTAGTGATATGAATCGGAAACCAGAAGTATTTAGTGCTAATGCTCCTTCCGTTCCCGCAAATGATTTGTTGCAAAGAATTACCTTTCTTGAACAAAAAATTGATCAAATAACCATTCGCTCAAGACGCAGGGACTCGGATTTACGTAATTCTCGTTCACGATCTCGAAGCCGATCTCGTAAACGATATGACCCTACTGGCAAATTTTGTTATTATCATTTTCGATTTGGAGCAAAATGTATTCCAGAGAAATGCCGTCTTCCGTCTGCTTGGGTAAACAACGATTCCAAAAACCGGGAAAACTCGAATCTGCAGTAGGTTCAGCGGCAAACGCTGCAAATTTCGTTTATTCGTTCGTGACCGAAGATCAAATTTGCACTTTCTTATTGATAGCGGAGCTGACGTAAGCATAATTCCTGCTACTTCACAGAATAAATGTAAAACTGAATACAAACTGTATGCAGCTAATGGCACAGCTATTTCCACTTATGGAATAAAAACGCTAACTCTTGATTTGGGATTACGTCGTGATTTTCAGTTTCCATTCATAATTGCTGATGTCACAAAAGGTATTTTAGGAGCTGACTTTCTTCACAAATATAAATTTCTTATCGATGTAAATAAGAAAAAATTAATTGATGGCTTAACACAGCTTTGTGTCCAGTGTGATGTCGCTGCTATTTCCACTGATTACGCAGTAACCACATTAAATAAATCCATAAAAATTTTCGATTTACTGTCGAAATATCCCGAAATTTCTAAACCTAACCTTTTTCCTACACAAATTAAACATGGTGTTACACATTTTATTACGACTGATGGTCAACCCGTTTATTCAAAGGCACGACAGCTGAATCCAAAACGCTTAGCTAAAGCTAAAGAGGAATTTAAATTTATGCTTGACAATGGAATAATTCGTCCATCAAACTCCCAGTGGTCAAGCCCCTTGCACCTTGTTACGAAAAAGGATGATTCATATCGTCCTTGCGGAGACTACCGACGATTGAATGCGCAGACGATACCTGATCGATACCCAATTCCCCGCATTGAAGATTCTCATCATATTTTAAGAGGCACAAATATTTTTTTCTAAAATTGATTTATTCAAAGCTTATTTTCAAATTCCCATTGCAGAAGAAGACAAATGTAAAACGGCCATCATCACTCCTTTCGGTTTATACGAATTTAATGTAATGAGTTTCGGTTTAAAAAATGCTCCTGCAACGTTCCAAAGATTTATTCACGAAGTCTATAGAGGATTAGAATTCATTTTTCCCTATTTAGACGATATACTCATTGCATCCAGTACCCATGAAGAACACGAAAATCACCTTCAATTAGTTTTCGAAAGATTACATGCATTTGGGTTAAGAATTAATGTTTCAAAATCTGTATTTGCTGTTCCACAAATCGAGTTTCTAGGCTACCTAATTACACCTAAGGGTTCCCGTCCTTTGCCAGAAAGAGTTCAAGCTATTACTAACTACAAACGACTAGAAACAATTCATGAACTTAGAACTTTTCTTCTAATACTTAACTTTTATCGTCGTTACATAAAAGACGCAGCGAATAATCAAGCATTGTTACATGCGTATCTTAAGAGAGCTAAAATGAGGGACAAACGTAAAATAGAATGGACTGAAGAAGCTGAAAAAAAGTTTGAAAAGTGCAAAAATGTCCTGTTGAACACGGCACTGTTTTCTTTTCCCAGTTCTGAACTACCTCTGACGTTATTTACAGATGCTTCAGATACGGCGATTGACTCAGTGTTGCAACAATATGAAAACTCCTCGTGGAAAACCAATAGCACTAAAAAAATTAAATTATACTCAGCAAAAATATAGCACCTATGATAGAGAACTATTAAGCATACATCTTTCAGTTAGACACTTTAAGCATTATCTAGAAGGAAGAGTATTTACAATTTATACAGATCACAAGCCCTTAATATTCGCCTATCGTCAAAAACTTGAAAAACTTGACAAGCAAGCAGCACCTAGACAAAGGCTCGCCAACTTCAATACATCTCCCAGTTTTCGACTGATATCAAATATGTAAAAGGTGAGAATAATATTGTGGCCGGATACATTATCTAGAGTTAATAAAATTTCATCGATAGATTATGATAAAATAGCTGATGAACAAACTCAAGATGAAAACTGAAGAGTTTGAAAACCAACTACTTCCTTGAATTTTAAAGCAATGTTCTCTACCTTCGGGGGAAAATATTTGTGGTGTGATACATCAACTAAACATATTCGGCCGTATATTCCTCAGGCTTTCAGAAAACACGTCTTTCAACGAATTCATGGTTTATCACATCCAGGAATAAAATCGACTATGAAATTAATTGACATCAAAATTCATTTGGCCTAACATTAAAAAAGATGTACAGTTGTGGACAAGAACCTGCATTCCTTGCCAAAAAGCTAAAATCAGTCGGCATACCAAAACAAAATTAGGTGAGTTTGAAGTACCACCAGGAAGATTTTCTGTCATCCATATTGATCTCATTGGACCACTTCACCAATCTAAAGGGAATAATTATTATCTTACTTGCATAGATAGATTTTCGAATTGGATGGAAGCAATTCCTTTAGAAAATATTTCCGCTGATAACGTCGCAAGAGCCTTTTATAGCAACTGGATTGCGCGTTTCAGAACGCCAAGTAAACTCATTAGTGATCGTGGATCCCAATTTAAAAGTGATACATTACGAGCTCTGTCCAAAATCTGTGGCATCAATTTACAACACACTACTGCCTACCACCCTTCGTGTAATGGCAAAGTTGAGCGCCTTCATCGAACATTAAAAACAGCATTAAAAGCCCAAAACAACATATCTTGGACGGACACATTACCAACAGTACTTTTGGGTTTGCGTACTGCTATTCAAGAAGATACAAATCATTCAGTTACACAAGTAGTTCATGACCAGAGTCTCAGACTTCCTGGAGAGTTTGTCAGCGAACCAAGTATCCAGACAGCATCGGAGACTTTTGCAAATAAACTCCAGAAACAAATGGAATTTGTTGAACCGAGACTAATTCGTAAAAATTCATCTGAACGGATATTTGTACATAAAGACTTAAAAACTTGTTCTCATGTGTTTCAGCGAATAGATCGGGTAAAAACACCTCTGGAACCTCCTTATGAAGGACCATTTCCTGTTATTGATCGCAAGGACAAATATTTTACTATTAGCATAAAAGGAAAACATGTTAATGTATTCCTGGATCGCTTGAAACCAGCATATATTTTAGCTGAGGAAAATTCTCAGTTGATACAACCTGACTACACTAATTTGCAGAGACCGGACTCAAGTTCTGATGTGAATCAAAAACATTCTCGCACAGGCAGAACTATACGTTTACCTGTTAGTTTCAAGGACTGACTAAATTATTTTGATAGTGGTTAACACTGCAATACTAGTTACTACATATTTTCTCCATTTTCGTAACGTAACTTAGTTACTGGTGGGCGAGTAGTGTAGTAGCCCAGTTATTGCATGAGAAATAATTATTTTTTATTTCATATATTTGTTAGAAGAGCAGATGTAGGAAACACTCCTTCGATCACCGCAAAAATCTCTTCGACAAACTGCTCGGGAAACCCACATCTCAAAAGATAGCGTCTACACTGGAAATGCTACATTGCAACACTAATCCACGCTCTGAACAAAGACGATCCTGACCGGAGTGTTCAATTCTGTGAATGGTACCTGGCAAAATGTGCAGAGGATGCAGGGTTTCCATAGAAAATTGTGTGGAGCAATTAGGCATCCTTTAAATTAAATTGCCTTATTAATCGCCATAATTGCATGTACTGGGATCCTGTAAACCATCATATAACGCTTGAACACCATGTAAACTAACTGGCATTTGGCATCATAGGGTCATTTGTTAACGGACCTGTCACTGGTGAGCGTTACCTCAATTTGCTTCAGGAGTTTGGCGGTCCACAAATTTCAGAGATGTTTGGTGACAACGAAATTTACTTTCAGCAAGATAGAGCACCTTCGCACTACCATCGCGATGTACGAGCTCACATCCATGCAGCTTTTCCAGACACATGGATTGGACGAAGGGGTAACATTGAATACCCTGCGCGCTCCCCAGCTTCACGACAATGAGCTTTTTTTTTTTTTTGTTGTTGTTGTTGTTGTTGGGATATCTTAAAGACAAAGTTTATCGCACCAAACCAAGGACAATTGATGCGTTGAAATTGGAAATTGAATGACAATGTCGCGATATTCTTAATGACCTATTTAGTGATGTTTGTGAATCCCTTAGTTCACGTTACCAGCGTTGTCTGGACAATGATGGTCATCAATTTGAACATTTACGAATATGATTCCTCACTTATATTTGTCTTCTGTATTCGAAGCCATTCCACTTCACTCTATGTTCAGAAATAAATTTTTTCTCGTCATTCGTAGTGCAAGTACATTTTTTTGAGACACCCTGTATGTGAATAATTCAAATCCTGAGATTTTTTTAGTCATTCTAGCTTAGCTCTACTTATTGATATTTTTCTTATTTTGCGTTTGATTTATACGTTATTACAAATTACAAAGTTAATCTGGACTTGAATAACACTAATTTACACTTACTCTTCTGTTAATGATTTGTATTTGATTGAAGTCTTACAACGACTATGTATGTGTAAAATATCACTGTAATATGAAAGACAATTTAAAAGCTGTCATTTTCATAATTTGATATACAAAAGCTAGAAAAATTATTTAACTTGTAACTTCCAAAAGTTGTATACCTTTACTTTTTGCATTTAAATTCTCATGTTGCATAAAAATATTAACTTAAAAAGAAAGTTCAAAAGTTCGAAAGAAGGATAAAGAACATAAAAATAGTATCCAAAATTTATGTAATGCTTGGAACTATTCAAATAAAATTTGAATTACCTTTGAGAGTTGCAACACATCCATGGCAAAACAGAGCTGAAAAAGTAATGCATATTTGAATTAAAAAAAGCTTATTTCTAAAATAATAAAAAAGTAATACTTCCTTTTATTGTATTTCATTCACAAGTAACGTATTTCCGAGCAACGTTATGCTCTTTCTTATTTTTACCAAAGGATGAAAAGTTCTGTAAAATTTTGAATAAAGAGTTGTACATAGGCATTAATTTTCACAGGGTACTTTGATTTTAATCAGGGGTGTTTGTGCTCCAGGGAAACCCCGGAATTCCGGGGATTTTGAACTTCGATACCCGGAAATTCCGGGGATCGTCGTTCAAAAGGAAGTAGGAATAATAACGAATTATTTATTTTGATCTGGGTAATTTTGTTTGCTTTGAAAGCAGAAAACGCAAGGTCAGTGGTGTGGTGGTGAAAACTTTTCCTTTCTTTCTCCAAAGGCAGTGATAATGCGTGAAAAGGGGGGGGAAAAACTTCTTTTTGTTCTTTCCTCATTGCGAGTTATGACTCATTCCCCCGGTTCTCGGACATTCTCTTCTGGATTCTTTTCGGCAAGTAGGCGCGGCAGAAAAAAAAAAGGGAGAGACTTCGTTTCGACCAAGATGTGCGATCACGTGACTCTGGGGGGGTTCAAAAATCTTATCTCTCCTGGCGTGGCGCCAATAAGTAGAGAAGGGGGGGGATTTTTCACCATATTAGCTATTTGTCATTGATCGCTTCTCAACCTTTTTTTCCTCCGCTGTGTGTAAAATTTTCGTTTCATTTATGATGCACGTGTAAATTTTCGTTTCGTTTATTGAAATATTTTTATTTATGTACGCAAGAGAATTCACTATGAAATTTCTCGATATAAATAGTGATATTATACAATTAGAAGAAGGTGTCCGGAATGCATTTAGGTGGAATTGGATTGAACGGAGAGATGGTAATGGGGATACCATCAGACTATAGAGCTGACTATAGAATTTCTCTTAAGATTGATTCCCTAGATGCAGTGCAGACTATTAAATATGATTTAATGGCTTCTAAAGAAACCTCATGTGAAAAATATGGCTCAAAAAATCCAATGACTGATCCAATTCACAAAGATCTCTTAGTGAATATGAATAGAAGTTGAAAAACATATCAAGAGGACTTAAAAACATGTATTTCAGATGTGTCACCTATGAAAAGTCTCTGAAAAACTTCTACATTAGCAGAAAGCAAACTGCTTCTACCTCTGCATGTGCAGTTCTCGAGGAAATTTCTTCAACTGTAAATGAGGAAAATAAAAGTCAACCTTCCTGCAATTATGAAGTTCACCACAAAAGAAAGACAGCCCACAAACATCAGAAAATAAAAAAAAAGCAGCAGAAATTAGATAATTTTTTTAAAAGAAATTAATTCAGGTAATTTAAAATATTTACATAAAATGTAGTAGTTATATGTTTGAAAATTTATGGTTATTAATTTTGCAAAAAAAGTAATTCATTGAACTTTTATAATTAGGTCATTCAATACTTCGTAATTGTAATTTTTCATTTCTCTCCCCCCCCCTTCTCGAAACTCCAAAATGTCGGTAGTAAGTCCGTAAAAGTTTCAGGGGATTTTTTGGGGTTCCACAAACACCCCTGATTTAATAGAAGTTATGATCATAAATCAATTTTTATTACTTTTTAATTTCACATTATGTTTTAAATAAAATAAAGGTTTCATAGTTAACAGCATGTAAGATGTCCATTATCGCTGGGTAAAAGGCCTTTAAAAACAAAAAATCAGCTTGTTACTGATTGAATGCTTAGGAACCATAAGAAAAAATTTTAAAAATATTTATCTTCGTTATTCCTTGTATTAAATCCAAATGCTGATCAATTTTTAATTTTTTTCGTTTGATGCATCTCTCTCTGACTCAAGAGTTCCTAAGATTAAAAAGTTCCTACTGGAGTTCGTAGAAAGTTCGTAATTTTCAACGATTTATTACTTTCAGTCACAATCATAACCCCTCATTGCATTGGAAATTGCAGTTTTTTTAAAATTCTAATCACTTATTATCGGTGAGCGAATTTCTATGTTTCCATGAACCACTCATGCATTTTTTTTTCTTTTTATATTTACTTCTTATTATCAAGCTGGATTTGCCAATAAATTTGAAGCAAATATTTTTGGTTTATATTTTTCCAGTACTCGGGAAATTTTAGCTTTGTTTAATAAATTTTATTATTTAAAATTACTTGTAGTAAATTTTTTGTCTTGTGATTTCAATTAAGGACGTTAAAGTGTTTATATATATTGGATTAATAAGAAAGCATCTGTTTCAAATCATCAACAAATATTTTTATTTGATACAGTATTCAAAACTAATTAATCATCTTAATTATTAAATATAAAAATATTCATCGTAATCATAATTGATTCATTCATTATTCATAATCATAACTCATTATTTTTCAAAATTATCATATCAATAAGTTAACAAAATTATCGTAACAACATTTCTGTTAATGAACACTAAAGTCACTTTCAGAATTCCAGTGAGAATGTTTCTTTCTAACTAGTTTAATAAAAAAAATCGTGAATTCCGAGAGTTGTAGAATCCGTTTATCAGATTTTTTCAGTTACGTTTAAGTGATCTAATCTTTTTAAGAAAAAAGAAAATGATTGAATAAAATATATAATTAGATTTTTAACCTGGTAACTGGTTTCAGAAGCAATTAAAAAACCTTATTCAATCAAAAATTTAAATTTAAAAATTTTTATTTTTAAAATATTTTTTTAATTTTAAAGATTGACTTAATATTTTTTAATTACATGTAAATCATATCCCCCCAAAAAGGATATGGTAATCCCATATCCCTTTTGGGGGGATATGATTTACATGTAATTAAAAATTTAATCCCCCAAAAGGGCAAATTTAATATGATAATATTGTACTACTAAGCAGAGATATGAAAATGGAAGTCATTTAGGGATGTTGTAAAATTACTCCATTAACCTGTAAAATAATTCTTCATTAAAATTGCAACATTTCCCAAATTTATTTTCTAATATTTTTAATTAAAATCGAATAAAATATAACAGAAGAAGCGAAATCTTCAGTATTATTTTCAGTGATTATGAAACATAATGGGAAATTCTTATTAATATTTATAGCATATTAAAAGAAAATTAAAAGTACGTGAGAAGCAACTCAATATTATGGCTTAAACTTCCTGTCTAGCAAAATGATTTTTTTTAAATCTTATTATATACACCAAAAAATAAATAAATAAATAAATAAAAATGTCAAACGTATCTTACGTTGTCCAATTTTCTGTTGTTGAGCTGCTGAAGGAGTGTAGGTGATATAAATTAAGGAAATGCAGAATAAGATGCAGAAAAACTCAAGTGAACGCATGATTTTTAAGGAACGACGAGGATATACAAGCAGTATGTAACGAATGAATAGACTGATATTAAAGATAAATAAACGCCCCTCATTGTTAACTTCATTTTCAACGTACGTTTGGATTTTATCTTACAGATAAAGCAGACGACTTCATTGATGACAGCGGTTACAGTGAATTGCTGTAACGTAGTAAACCGTGAAAACTGCTGATTTCATTATATCCTAATGATTTGTGTTGTTAATATGCTCCCTTCTATATCATTAGTACATAATTAAAATGTTTATTAATATTAAAGCATTTGAAAGTGAAAGGTTAATTATTGGTACAATAACCTTTCGATATCAAGTGTTTTAAAGGTAGTCAAATGCTTTTTAGAATTTTTGAAAAAAGAAAACTGTTTTTAAAATTTTGTACGGAAAGTAACAAGTCAGCATAGCTGGGATAGTGGTTAGTGACTCCGTACCAAAGTACCCAAGCGCGAATCCTGGAGAAGGCATGTATGATTGTAAATATATAGTGTCTGTGCGACATAGGAGCACTCTAAGTATAGGGCTAGCGGAAAGTATTGTAGAGAGGTTGGTATCCTCTTGGGTTCTCTCTCTCAAAATTGGAGGACGGAAGAGAGCTTAAGTCGGACTGACAGCTATATAGAGCTCAAGGCTCTTCCCAACAACAGGTGTCTTGCTTGGCTTCTTGCCATGATGAATGTTGTAGGCTTATGCTGACTTTTATCAAACAAGTGAGATTGGTAACAACAATTCAACATATAAATGATTTTGAAATGTTACTCAATTTTCTTAGTATGCTACTTTCTTAGCGTAGATATGGTAAATCATTATGCCTTTTCTAAATACGTATTCTTAGGTACTAATATTAGAAATAGAATCCAATCATGATGCATCTAATTTATTATTTACATGCATATTTATACTTCAGGTCAAAGATTTTGCATCACATATCAGCGTATAAGTCTTGTTTACGTATAGTTCAAAACATTTTCTGAGCTCTTGTTCTTGTCCGGCCTACCAGCGGCCGAGTTGTAAAGTAGCTGAACATTGGCAGAGCGACCTGAGATTGAATATCGGGGAATCGTTTGGCTGCATAGTTGATTTTCATGACTTTCCCCGCGTATAACGTGGATACGAGCCAGTTTCCCTTAAAAAGTCCTTGAGGAAGGCATTTCTCACCATATGCAAATTACCCGCCAATTGCTTTGTCTTAATCAATAAACCTAACCTTATTATTGCCCACAAATAAAAATTTAAACTGTTCTCGGCTTATCATTAGTGATACTATAGTACTGAATTAGAAGTACTTAATGTTAATACTAAATCTTTTACTTTAGATGTAACTTTCTTGCAGCTTCTTATATTCTTCAGTCACAGATTTAATTTTTAATGGCTGACGCTGTGTTATGCAAACATAGCTAATATTCTTTCTTTGTTTTGGTTTATGTATTTACGGCAGAGCCTCGAGAGTTATCTGTCTAAAGGGACGGGATGCCTTCGTTGAAGAATTTCTAAGGGAGACTGGCTTGTATACGTATTACACATGGGGAAAACCACAAAACAGCCATCCCTTTCGCGGGATTCGAACCTCCGACCGAACTACCAGTTTTCAGCGACTTTACCGCTCGGCCACTGGTGGACCCTGTTCCTTTTTTTGGAAGAAGAGAGAAAGGGCTCTTTTCTTCAAGAGAAGCGTATTTTAGAAGCTACTAACTGTATTTATCTCTGGTAAAGCGATTGCTAAGCGATCTGTTAAATTTACTGCACCATATAATCACTGATTATGGCTTTATTTAACTTAAGAAAGCTAAATAAATATAATTTTATGAGACTATAGACAGTATTAACCGTAGCCTTGTATATAACGCATAATCTAGAACTGTTTGAGAAGAAGACGTGTAAAACATTTGAACATAAGCTTATTAATATATACAGAACAGAACTGGGGTGTAAAATGGATTAAAGAATAACATCTCTAAAAGTTCTATATTTAAAGCTTTATTGATAATTACAGAAATAAAAGAAAATATTGCTTTATAAATGGAATTTGTAGAGTCATTAGGTTATATCGACACAGGGGCGGGAATAATTGCCGGGACTCGGGTCTCCGGACCTCCCGAATACGCGTCGAGCGTGCTACCTGTTACACCACGAAGGCATGAGAAAAGAAGGAGAAAATAACTTATACTGTCCCTTTTACTATTTGTAGTTTACTTAACTTATACACTGTTCCTTGTTTTATGTCCTTTGGGGTGACTTGGAATTAGGGGACCCAATCGCCAAATCCTGGTGCTGATAAATTATCTTCCACCACCTTTTAGTTCGGGCGCTGCTTATATAGTTTGGCTTGCTTTGGGAGCATGCTTTAGTTCCAAACCCTAATAGACGTTTAAGCGAATTATCGCTGTGTCCGAAAGTAACTCAAAGTCCAGGAAAGGTTTTAAAATAACTTTTTGTTACATAAACGCACTTCGAACATAAACGCACTTCTTGTGCTTGACAAAAATCAACCACCACTTGTGTCAAAGTAACTAAAATAAAGTCAAATTCAAATTTAAGATTTAGAATAGTAATCAAAGCTTACACAATAAATTTAAATCTAAGTTGGATCAGAAATCTCTAACCGGTATAACAATTTAAATGTCGGCAACAATAACGTAAAAACTTATCAGAGCTGCCAGAACTAATACAACGTGGCATCGAGAGGTAGAAACATACTCTGTCTTACATCAGATTAAGTACTCTCTGACTAATATTTCTGGTGAAAAAAACAGAGAGGAGAAGTTAAATAAAGGCTGAAATAGTGAATAATTGATTAAAGAAAAATCCTAGTAACCTTATAACATTATCCAATGAAGCCACCTTCAGCATCAGTCATAGTCTCAGGAAAATCTTGGAAACGACAACAAATGCCTATTACCTCCTCAGGAGACAAATTTTGAATTGCCTGACAGAATCTCATTTTCAGCTCCCCTTTTGGTTACCTACGCGTAGATGAAGTAGAATGCCACTTTTCTTCTCCACTCCTCAGGCTATTCATAATCATTCAATTTCTTTTCAGGTCTCCAATTCTTTGAAGTCTTAGAGATAACTGAGAATGTGGAACAAAAAGCATGGATCAAGAAAAATATGACCGAAAATTATACTCGTGCTAATTCTATTCGCGTATTTTGTATTTCATACTTTGAAAAATATTATATGCAATGAATTTTAACAGTATGAAATGTTTTATCGAAAATTTTAAAGAAATGAAATTAAAGAGCATGTTCGAAGAAAAAAATTGTTCGAGTTTCTATGAAACACAAATTGTTTCCTGTTTTCGGCACTTTTGGCTAGAATTGTGCAATAGAACTGAATAGAATAAACCAGTTGTTGCAAGAATATATTTTAACGACATTAAAGAAATATTTATTTAAAATCATATTTCTTATTCTAATAATGGAACAGTGTCTTTTTCGTTCCAAACGTTATAAGGTACCAGAAGTGGGCGCAGCCCGAACCACCTAACCAAACAAGTTGGTCTTATGGTCATAGCAGATCAAGCCCAATTCAACAAAGGGAAATAAGTAAAACATAAAATAACTAAATAAATAAACCAAATAGTGATGGCGATAAAAAACAAGAATCATCCACTGATTCCCACTGCCCGACGCTCACCGTTAATAATTTTCATAACAGATTTACATAGCTGTGAAATATCTTTATAGCATAAAAAGGGATTTTTCAAAATCAATTTTTTTTTATTGTTTCTTAAGCTATTAAAATAGGGACAGACCTCGAAGAAGTGCTTAACATCACCAACCAAATCACATAGTTTACATTTATTGTCGTCTTGTATCTTAAACCTAGCGATGTATTCCGGGAAACGCCCAAGTCCGGTCAAAAAGCTAGTTAACGTCAAAATCATTGAAGATAATATTCTTTCTCTTAGTCAGTTCTAAATGTTTTACAAAACCCCTTCTTCTTTCAGAAGTATTCCACTGTGACAGCCATTCCCAAAAATAATAAGAATAAATAGCTCTGGTTGCTAATTTTTGGGGAAAATCATTATAAGGCATTTTATCCTTCTTTTTCGCATGCCTTCGTGGTGTAGCACACTCGGCGAGTATTCTGGAGGTTTAGGTTCGAGTCTCGGCTAGTTCGAGTCTTTATTATTTTATTTATTTATTTATTTTTTTATTTTCATTGTATATATTATGAAACATGTATGTATTACGGCCCAATGTATATATTATGAAACATGTATGTACTATGGCCAATGAAAATTATTATAAACTATGTGTGTATTATGTAACAGGCTCAATATATTATGAACTATGTAAGCAAGTATGAACTATGTAAGCCACTATGTATTGTGTAACAGGCTCAATATATTATGAAACATGTATGTACTATGGCCAATGAAAATTATTATGAACTATGTATGTATTATGTAACAGGCTCAATATATTATGAAACATGTATGTACTATGGCCAATGAAAATTATTATGAACTATGTATGGATTATGTAACAGGCTCAATATATTATGAACTATGTAAGCAAGTATGAACTATGTAAGCCACTATGTACTATGTAAGCATGTATATGTATGAACTATGTAAGCAAGTATTATAAAAGATCTATGTATTATGAACTACTTGTATATAAGCATGTACTATGAACTATGTAACTATGTAAGCATATATTATGAACTATGTAACTATGTAAGCATGTATACAGGACCAATGTATGCCCTTATAGGCCCCATGAGGTGTTGCCCCGGACAGTTGCGGAACCTGGACTAGACCCGAATAGTCTTAGTAAGCCGCACGGGTGTCCAGATTCTGCTCTCAACTCAACTCTCCTGCTTCACAGAAACCCTAATGACTCTACAACGTAACAACAAAAAACCGCGCTCAGTAGACAATATGAAGTTTTTCATCTCCTTCAAAGTTACTTTACTTATCAACAACATAAAATGTTATGGAATATGTGAAATCTGCCACATGTAATTTTGAATCAAATTTTTTAATGATGTCAGTATTTTATATTTATACGTTGAAATAGTTCTATCAGTTATTATTGCTACTAGTTTTATAGTTACTTTAATTTACTGTTGTTATTCAAAG